ACTAGAGAGAGAACTGGATTTGGGGCGAATGAAGTAGAATGGGGAGGAGAGTGTGTATTGATAAGAGGAAGGGAGGAGGCGAAGAGTCACCTCGGGATGTGCGCGCGCGGAACAGACCAATCCTCGCCCTCCGTTCAAAATTTGAATTTTGAAATTAGGATTTTGAAATTCAAAATTTGAACGCACGCCGAGTGGAGGGCGAGAGGTACGGTCGTGCGCCTCGTAGCGTTAAAGTCGAGGGAAGCGCGAGGAAATTGGAGGATCGATTAAATAAACGTGAAAGGCAGAAAATCGTCTTAGCCGGGAGAGGGGGGGCAACGTGACCCATGCGCCCCTTTGGTCGAGTAGGCGCAGACCCATCCTGGAAGCCTCATGTAAACCAGAGTCATAGTTAGGCGCGTAAAAGGCAGAAAATCGTCATAGCTAGGAGAGGGGGGCAACGTGACCCCGAGCGCCCCTTTTGTCGAGTAGGCGCAGACCCATCCGGAAGCGCATATCTTGGAGTTGGTACACATGCTGGGAAGCCTCATGTGAGCCAGGGTCATAGTTAGGCGTTCACCAGTGAACACCTAACTGGGGGGCAATTGTTGGGGTAATAGAGATAAGCCCACGAAAGTCAAAAGCATGTTGGGCCTAAAGCCCGCTTATGATCTATCTAGGGCATAACCCATGTGGGGATAATAGGAGCAAGCCCATGAAAGTCAAGTGCCTGTTGGGCATGAAGCCCATTTGTAGCCTATGAGGGCATGACCTAGGCAGCTATGAAAGAAAGGGGGCGCATAGCGACAAAATAGGCTCGCAGACAAGGAAGTACGGATGGGCGAGGTCGGAAGGGCGCCACGAGGCCGGTGGTCCCCCTATGCGCCCCGACGTGGAAGACGGACAGTGTGCCACGTGTAGGCGCGTAGGCGCTAGGCCAGACCAGGCATTTAATGCTTGGCTGACGTAAGGCTTGGTGGCAGGAGTTGGTCGGAGCTTGGTCGAGGAGCCCGAGTAGTATAAATAGCACTTGGTAGGTAGCATTTAAGCAGGTCGGTTTTCTCACACTAAAACTTCTCTCTTCACTTCTCTCTCTAGAATCACTACTGACTTGATCGTTGGAGCGCTAACGGAGGGGCTTAGCCCTCTAGGCGTTAGTCTTGCCGGGCCCAAGCGCTCGGTGTGGAAGGAAGTAAGCGCTGCACGGGTGGAAAAGTATCGTGGCACCAACAAAGGGCTTTGGTCTAGAACTGATTTATGATAATACAGACGGTAAACTATTTTATATCCTTTGAAATTAATGATGGTAAAAGCAGAATTATTAAGTTTCCTTTGACAGTGACTGCGACGGCGGAGAAGAATAAGGAGTTTGATAGAGTGACAAAAATGGAGAGAAACACGGAAAGGGGCTCTTGGCCAAAAAGGAATATAATATAAATGGTTATTCTAACTTAGGGATCGTTTGTTTCATGGATTTGAAAATGAAGGTTTTCTAATTTAAAAATCCAAGGATTTGTTAGAGATTTGTCGCATTATGGATTTGGAAAAGTTCATTGTTTGCTTAGTTGATTTGATCATGGACTTTTGGGTTATGGATTTATATCTTTAAGATGTATATTACCTTATTATCCTTCTTTATGTTAGATTTATATAACTTTACTTGTGTTTCTAATTTTATTCGTATGGTCATATTGTTAATTTGTGCTTTTAAATTGACATTTTATAGCAAGCTCGTAAAATTAGTAGCCACAAGATATTAAAATGTGTAGATAATCACAATAATAGTTGTAATCTTACAATTCTTGGCTAAATTTGTTTGTTAGAATTACTATTTTAACAACAAATGTAGTTTGTAGCTAAAGGGTATTACTTGTCATCCAAATCAAAATTTGAATCAAAATAATCATATGCTTATGGCAAAATAAATGTGTGACATAGACCATCACAACTAGCCTTCAAAGATAAGTGGGTTATTGCACACAAACCCATCACTCTGTTGGTCCGCCTCTCGAACATAACTAATTCCCCAAGAGTTTCCTTTTTCATCAAGGAAAATAGAGGAGAGTGGCATATCCCAAGGCTACAATATTGTTTTGATCCTTTAATAGTTAACCTTATATGTAAAACCCCACTCCCTAGATGCCAACAAAGAGATACGAGAGTTTGGCATTACACAAAAAATGGTTTATATACAGTCAAAACGGGATACCATCTAGCTCTTGAGCTCTCCTTAGCCTCTAGCCGAAAACCACTAGTCCAAATCATTGATCCTCCTATCTGGAAGAAAACATGGGATATTCTAACCCCTCCGAAGCTGAAATTCTTTATTTGGCAGTGCCTTAGAGTGATATTACCAACAGTAGTAGCTCTCAAGTCTAGAGGAGTAAATTGTCATGTCCGTTGCCCTATTTGCTGGAGAAGCCCGGAAAGTATTGAACATTTGTTCTTCAAATGCCCTTTGGCCACCAGACTGTGGTCGCTTATGGGTCTAAATGACTTCATTTCCTCGACCCCGACTGTGAACTTCAGTCTCTGGTGGCGACATGTTATGCTCTCTGAGCACCCCCAAACCCATATTCTCCTATACGTTTGTGTATTGTGGAGGATCTGGAAGTCTAGAAATAAGGTGGTCTTTGAGCATATCCAACCTCATGCCCAGTCTCTCGCTCGTCAATGTTTTTTCCAAGTTCGTGAACTGTCGTCCTCCCTACCTTTGGTCCCTGCTCCTCCGCCCTAGCCCTCCTACTCTCGCCGTTCTCCCTGGTCCCCTCCTCCTGATGGTTTTCTGAAGATCAACTTTGATGCTGCTGTTCGACCTTCCGGGTGCTCGTCTGGTCTAGTGGTGCGGAGTTCAGACGGGCATGTGGCTCTGACAGTAGGATCTCTTCACCCCGGTATTTCTGATCCCTACCTTGCAGAACTCCTAGCTGCTAGAGACGCCATCTTCCTATTGGTCTCCAAATCCCTGCCTCGGGTCATCATAGAAGGAGATTCAGAGGTGGTGATTCGTCAGCTTCGTCAAGGTGTTTTCTCAGACTCCCTTGGAGGTCCGGTGCTTCGGGATTGCTTCCTTCTCTTATCCTCTGTTTCTGTATCCTTAGAGTTTAGGGCAGTTCCCCGGACTGCTAACAAGGCTGCCCATAGAGTGGCGCAGAAAGCCCTGTTACTCTCCCCTCTAGAGTTGTGCGCCTTTGACTTTGTTGGGTGGCTTCACTGATGTTTTGGGTTGGGCAGGGTCTTGGTAGTTTGTATAGGTTCTCTCTTGACATTTCTTGGAAAAAAAAGACCATCACAACTAGCCATGATGAATAAATTATGTAGTCATTATTATGTTATTAGCTTATGGCATAGATTATGTAGTCATTAGCATGTTATTAGCTACAATATTACTTTTCATGGCTAAGTTTGTAGCTATAAGAGGCAATCGTAGTAGTGCAAAGAATAACTAATGACGGGTAAAGTTGGAATAAATAAATTATAAAGGGATAGATAAGTCATTTTTCATGAAGGATTTGTTCCCTTCTTCAAATCCCAAGTAAATAGGTGGGATTTACAAATCCGTGGGGTCCACGGATTTGGTACCCTCCATTTTTGCTCAGCAAACAATGACTTTTGGACAAATCCTTCATGTGTTGGATTTAAGAACCAAATCCCACATTCAAATCCTTGAAGCAAACGACCCCTAGTCTGTATAGCTAAACACTAATCTACTGTTTGCATCGTTAAGAAATAGGATGGAAAAAACTAACGAAGAACAAGACGACACGTGACACTGTACATAAAACGTGAAATGGGCTTGGTGCTAAGTTGGACGTCGCTTTAGTCTCTACTTTCACTTGTTGCAAAGACAAGTGGCCTTGTGTCAATGAGCCCAATAGCACAGAGCATGGTTCGACTATCTAAGCATGGTTCGATTTTCCAGTCCATCATTAGTTTAAGATGGTTCGACTATATGAGCATGGTTCGATTATCCAATCCATCATCAGCTTCATCTTCTCTGTAACGTTGCCTCAAGCTGAGCATACAAGTTTTGTATGTTCAACTTGGACTGCACGTATTGAAGTCTGAATCTTCTCAACCCCTTTGTAAACAAGTATGCTTTTTGATTCTATGGATCAAAGTGGATGAATGATTTAACCTTGGACGGGAGAAATTGATGAACCATGTGGCAACCGATTTAATGTGTTTCTTTCTTTAATGAATGATATAAATCGACGATCAATTGTCATAGAAGAGCTCCACAGGTTGAGGATGTTCAACATTAAGTTCATGTAGAAGTCTTATATTTGACATGTAAGCTGAGCAAGAGCCATATACTCAGCTACCGAGGTGGAATGAGGTATTGTTCATTATTTCTTAGACTTTGTAAATGATAAGGGACTTTATAAATGAGATGCAATAGCGAGTGGTGGATCACCTTGTATATGGACACGAAGGCTGAAGCCCAATTCGAATCATTATATCCTCTAAGCTTAAAACAGAGAAAGATGGATAGAAAAAATAATGACATGGTGAGTTATTTAGATACTTCAGGCTGCATCCCCAAACGCTTCCTGCACTGATTGCATGCACATGTTCGCCTGCATCCCCACCTCGACCGCCACGCCGGCGCCACACTCTTCTTTTTCTCCTCCGAACCAACAACTTCAACGGCTGCCCTACCTGACAATGTGAGTATGGAAAATATGGCATGATAAAATTACTCGTTGCCCTTTCTTCCATATTATATACCGTTTACAAGGAAATTACAATATGTGTTGATTAGCTTCTTTGTTCCCCACCTAAGAGATGGCGGCGGCGGGCGGCGACAATCAGCCAGCGACGATGGAAGTAATGCCCACATATATTTCTTTGATTGATTGCGTTTATTATAGTATTTCGTTAACAATTAAATGAGAGAAGGATAAAATGGTAATCTCAACTTTTAAATTAGGACGATTTAAATAAAGTTAGAGCGACAATTAGCAATCTATTACCAAACCCGTCTATCGGTGTAAACCGGTTTTACCATCAATCTTGATTTCGGTTTCTCCCCTCCCCGTATACTTCGAGATAGTCGACTGTTTTGTTTGCCCACGCCGGATGCTGCCAGTTGATTCAGCTCATAACTGCTTCATTTGAGCCGTCCTCGACAGATCCGGAGAACCCTGGCTAGGGTTTAGGAGCTCCTTTCTCAGCATCAATCCAATCGTAGCTTATTCGGACTGTGGAAAGTGGTATTTTACATTGATCCCCCGACCCTTGCGGCAAGATTTTGGATATTGCACTATTGACTTGGAATAGAGTAGTACGGAGAAGATCATATGAAATCGTCGGCGGCAGCAGTCTTCTTCATTTGTCTGCTCCTCTCGGACTGCCTTCACAGTATCCATGGAGAAGAAATCAAGAAGAACAAGTTTCGGGAGCGGGAGGCCAGTGACGACGCCGCCGGCTACCCGGAACTGTAAACGCTTTCTCCCTTGCTTCTCTTTTTGCGCATTTCTTGTAGAATTGCGAGTTCCTAGTAAACCTCAGTAGATTTGATGGAGGACGAGTTCAATTCGGTTGATTGGTGCCTTTCGAGTTGCAAAATGTTTGTCTTCCTGTTTATCTGAAACGGTTATGGCTGCGTAGGGATGAAGATGCGTTGTTGAATACACAATGCCCTAGGAATTTAGAGCTGAGATGGCAAACGGAAGTCAGCTCTAGCATTTACGCTACCCCCTTGATTGCTGATATCAACAGGTGCTTACTGGCTCGGCTTCTAGCTTTTAGTATGTTCTTGGCTTTCCATCCTTCTAGTTTACCAGTTCTACTTCGTGGATGTTGCAGTGACGGGAAGCTAGACGTGGTCGTTCCATCTTTTCTGCACTATCTAGAAGTTCTTGAAGGTTCTGATGGGGACAAAATGCCTGGTGAGTTCTGCCCTCTTTACCTCTATACAACTACCAGGGCAGTTTTTGAATTATTGCATCACCAGTTTTGGCAAATTGTTGGAAAATATTGATGATTTATGCGAAATTTTCTACTCAGGCTGGCCTGCATTCCACCAGTCTACTGTTCATGCTAGTCCTCTCCTATATGACATTGACAAAGATGGCGTCAGAGAAATTGCTCTGGCTACATACAACGGGGTGGTGATGTTTTTCAGGTATTTGTTTGAGTTATTCTTGGCCGCTGGTGCACAGTTATATTCCAACGCATGTATGAGTTGAGGTACTTTGTTTCTCATCTAATTGTTCTTGGGCTCTATCTATTGATCTCAGGGTTTCAGGCTACATGATGACGGAGAAACTGGAGATACCTCGTAGAAGAGTTAAAAAAGATTGGTATGTTGGCCTGAAACAAGACCCTGTGGATCGTTCTCATCCTGATGTCCATGATGATGAACTTATCAGGGATGCGGCTGAGAAGAATTCAGTGTCCAGTAAGTCCATCCTACTCTTAAAGTACTCTCTGCTGTACTTGGGGTCATTTCTAGGAAGAAATCTTGCAAAGAAGACTTGTTAATGCATGTTGCAACTTCCTTCGAACTGGACCGACTAATTGTAGTTAGTCCATTTCATAGATTGAATTGGCTTGACAGTTATCTGAACTTCTCTGACCATTTGCGTCGAAGCAGTTGGGAATAGTATTTTGAGTGCATGAAGGAGGCTTTTCACTGTTGCTTGATATCTCTCGGACTATAGAGGTTTCCCATCTATTACTCTTGATATTGGGCTTAAGGATTAGAGCAACCATCTGGGGCTTGGTGTGTCTGCTGTTGCTTTTATGTAGAGTTTGTTATGAGATTTTTTGGATGCTAATTTGCAGAAACAACTGGAGGTACTCATGAAAACACGCCTGATACAACCACTCCAGTTACTAAATCAGCAGAAAACCAACCTCCAAGAAATGAAAGTGTATCTGTAGCAAACACGACGGTTACTAGTTCAGAGGCCAATAATCCTAAAGCTGAAGGAAGTACTCTTGGACAAGCAAATGGTACAGAATCGTTAACTGTGGAGACGAACCCTCCTGCAAATGGGAGTGCATTGGATGCAAACAATACTGTCCCTATATCAATTGCAAACAACCTTCAAGCTAATACATCCAATCAGGAGACTGTACGTGTAATGATTGCCGAATCAGTCTTCAAAATGCCTATAAGGCCAGATAATAATTCTGGGAATGCTGAGGCTACAAGATCGGGCGATGCAGATAATAAAACAAGCTCTGGGCGGCGTCTTCTCGAAGATAATGATTCAAAGGTTTCAGATTCAGGGAATGGAAAGAATACTAGTGATGACCTTCATGTGGCAACTGTGGAGAATGATGAAGGGTTGGAAGCAGATGCTGATTCGTCATTTGAGTTGTTCCGTGACACTGATGAGCTGGCTGATGAATACAATTACGACTATGATGATTATGTTGATGAATCTATGTGGGGAGATGAGGAGTGGAGTGAAGGACAACATGAGAAACTAGAAGACTATGTCAATGTTGATGCCCATATATTGTCCACTCCTGTCAGTATTTTCACCTGGACTATAAGTTCTCTTTATTTTCTCGATTGGAAGTCTTCTTCATTGATGCAAATGAAATGAGGTTACAGACTCGGCTGAAATTCTCACTCGCTTCTTCTGTTCAGGTTATAGCAGACATTGATAAGGATGGGGTTTCAGAGATGATTGTTGCAGTGTCGTATTTCTTTGATCATGAGTGAGTTTTCGTACATGACATTGCATACGTTTTAACCATATTTCTTTCTGTTACTGCTTTTGCATAATGATTCCAGTTTGGCCACTTTTTTTAACTTCATTTGATGTATCATATCATTTCCGCTAGTGTCTCTTACGAGTTTTATGCCTGGCAGGTACTATGACAATCCAGAGCATTTAAAGGAACTAGGAGGGATTGATATTGCAAAGTATGTTGCTGGCTCAATAGTGGTTTTTAATCTTGACACAAAGCAAATTAAGTGGACAAGAGAACTAGATTTAAGTACAGATAGTGCCGACTTCCGTGCATATATATATTCCACACCTACTGTAGCTGATCTGGATGGCGATGGCTATCTGGACATTCTCGTTGGAACTTCATTTGGCTTGTTTTACATCCTGGATCACCGCGGTAAATTCTTAATCTTTTCCACTTCAATTCATTGCCCATTTGTTATCCTTACGATGACATTCTAAGAAAGGTTTCTGTATTTTTACTTGCTCATCTGCTATTTGGTCTAATTCGTTATATCCATTGCAATATAACCAGGAAACGTTAGAGAAAAGTTTCCACTTGAAATGGCGGAAATTCAAGGAGGATTAGTTGCTGCTGATATAAATGATGATGGTAAAATTGAACTGGTGACCACTGACACACATGGAAATATTGCTGCATGGACTCCCCAAGGAGTAGAGATTTGGGAGATTCATCTCAAGAGTCTTGTTTCCCAGGTCAGTCTTTGAATTTGAGATTAAGTGTGATATACCAAGATTGAAATTTCCCACTGAGTTCGAAGATCTTTGAGTGGGTTGATAGCAATATTGGAGTTAATTTTTTTAACGTTTAATTATGGAAAGACTTGAACTTCAGTGATCACCCCATATTAGGCTCATACACATTCAAGCATGAGTTTGAAGCACTGGAGTGATTATTAACATCAGAGCAATCTAACATTATAATGTTTTTCAGCAACCAACTGTAGGCGATGTCGATGGTGATGGGCACACTGATGTGGTGGTTCCAACACTCTCAGGAAACATATATGTCCTTAGTGGCAAAGATGGTTCAATGGTCCGCCCTTACCCATACAGAACTCATGGGAGAGTGACCAATCAAGTCCTTCTCATTGATCTTAGTAAACGAGGGGAGAAAAGCAGAGGGCTTAGTTTAGTGACCACCTCATTTGACGGTTACTTGTATCTTATAGATGGACCTACCTCCTGTGCGGACGTTGTTGACATTGGAGAAACTTCGTAAGCCACAATTTTTTATGTCTTTCCCATTGTTGCTTATCCCTAAGAGCATATATAGTAACGTCCAGATTAAATTTTGTGTGCAGGTATAGCATGGTTTTGGCTGACAATGTAGATGGTGGAGATGATCTGGACCTGATCGTCACAACCATGAACGGGAATGTGTTTTGCTTCTCCACTCCATCTCCACATCATCCCCTGAAGGTAGTACAGAAATGAACTTATCTATCTTCAGTGACAATGCTATGGCTGTGTTTTTTGTCCTGCTATTGCTTAAAGAAAAGTGTTTTTCTTTTTCGAGTTACAGGAGCAGTGGAAAAAAGTGTGTTTAGTAAGGATTTAGAAAAAGAGTGGCAGATTTCTGTTTCTCATATTTATCGGGAGGGTAATAAGTGTGCTAACTTCCTTGGTAGCAGGCTACATTTGGTGCCTTTGGGCTTCCATGGGATTTCTAGTTCTGATCCTTCCCTTAACTATTGCTGAAGTATGCTTTTCAGGGAAAATTGAGCCTTGGTTGTTTTTCAGCGGAGGCTAGGACGCACTACGTCTAATTATTAAAAAAAAGGGGGAAAATAGAGCTCTTGAACTATGATATATTTTTCAGTCATAAAGGAATTGGAAACAACTGGGCATAACATTAAGAATGGATTCTCATTTCAATTGGGCTTAGATGGAGTCGAACTTTTTCCAGTGAGGTGGCTTTTAATGTTTGACAATCCATTATGTTCATAATGAGTAATTGAATAAAGATTTGAGATTGAAAAAAGTGTGTGCTTCTTTCAACTTATAGCTCACGTTTTCTTAAACCTGACTTTTTCTATAAGCTGGACTGCTGGAGCAAGCACAGCCACTATACTTTCACCCCTGATTTCAATTGTGCAATTTTTTTCAGGCCTGGAGATCTCCTAATCAAGGACGGAACAATCTGGCCAACCGCTACAATCGTGAAGGGGTCTTCATCTCACATTCTTCGAGAGCTTTCCGGGACGAAGAAGGAAAGAGCTTCTGGGTGGAGATCGAGATAGTAGATAAACACAGGTTTCCCTCTGGATCTCAAGCACCCTACAATATCACTGTAAGTTATTCCCCACCTTCCTTCCACAAACTAAAACCACCCCATTCTAGATGACTTTAACCAACTATTTGTCTCCTCTCAAAACAATGGTAGACAACACTATTAGTTCCAGGCAACTATCAAGGTGACAGAAGGATAACACAATCTCAGATCTATGACCAACCCGGGAAGTACCGTATAAAGCTTCCTACAGTTGGAGTCAGGACGACCGGAACAGTGGTGGTGGAGATGGTGGACAAGAACGGACTATATTTCACCGACGACTTCTCTCTGACTTTCCATATGTATTACTACAGAATGCTGAAATGGCTGGTCGTCCTCCCAATGCTTGGCATGTTTGGCATTCTGGTCATTCTTCGTCCCCAGGAAGCTAGGCCTTTGCCCTCTTTCTCTCGGAATACCGACCTATGAGTGGGGAGATATCATTTATACGGCATCAAAGTCGGTCTGTCAACTAGTTGAAAAGGGCACTGAATCTCGGGTCAAGAGGTCTGTGAATCGGCTGAAATGAAGTTATTCTAGGTAACATGGAAGAGAAGGGTTTTGAAGATGGAAAACCGAGAGAAAGCTTGAAACATGACAACTTTGGGGGTCATTGGATTAGAGTTTTTGATTGAGGACTGAACAATGAACATTGTAACATAGTACTCTTGGATTCGATGGCATAGGTTGGATTTCGAATTTTTTTTTTTTTTTTTGTATCAAAAGAATACTGGGAAAGGGTTAGATAGAGGAGAAAACTATTGGAATCACATTTATACGGAGACCGATGTTTTAATCTATACCTTCGACTTCCAAGTCTAGCAACGCGCGGCGCGCGGGAACTGGGGGTGAAAGTTCACTTCAGTCCTGACGAACGGCTGTTTGTATGTTTACCGAATCCAGAGATCTTGTGTTCGAATTTAATCATATTCTAATTTGTTTTCTACAATCTCAGTATTATTTCTTTGTTACACACGCGTACAGTCGCAAATCGTATTCTACAATCCCTTGTCAGTAAGGCAAGTTCTTCTGGGGCTCCAAACCCATCTTCTTCTACTGTCTCCTGGTTACTGCTGGAGCATCCATCACCCCCTTCCCTTCAATGATCATATACTAAAGTTGCGACCGAGCACACAAGAGAAGAGAAGAGAAGAGCTTCTTTACTAGCTAGCTGCCAGTTTTACCATGTAACTATATTACTTGTTTACAAAATAAAACACCTCCGATGGAGCTCATGGGAGAATCAGAAATCACAGCAATTCACAAATTTCTGAAAAGAAACGAATTATCTGTTTATGATCGAGACAAGACATCTTTACAAAAGGAAGAAGATGAGACAGAGACAGAGACAGAGACAGACAGACACTCCATTAGCAACCTGAAGCCGATTGCTTGCTTGTGTGGTTATTGAATCGCTAGAGTAAAGCAAACCCACTGAAGGAAGAACAAAACATTAAAAAAGGAGGTGAAAGGGAAGGGATGAATTATCATATCAATAGGTCTGTAATACAGGGCGCTTGCCGAGGCGCTTGATCTCCTTATCCATCCCACCGGTGAGCATCAAGCCGAACATCTTGTAATCGCAGAGCAAGGACCAAACCGGGTGGCCGAACGTCGCCGGCACGTTCCGCTCCACGAAGAAATGGCTGTACCAGGCGAACCCGTAGCCGATTACCGGCACCAGAGACAAAACCCACCAGTTGAAACACAGGGCGTAGAGCAAAGTGACCAAGCTCAGCAGAGTCCCCACGAAGTGCCATCGCCTGGTCCACGGCTTCGAGTGCTGGCTCATGTAGAACCCCCAGAACTCGTCCATGCTCCTGAAATTCATTCTCGCCCTCCCCCGCCGCCTGCGTTTGACTTTCCGAGACTGCGAAGATTTGGGTTTGAGAAATTGAGATAGAATTATTGGAAGGAGGGTCTGGAATTGGAGTTTGTGTATTTTTCAGAGCGGAAGAATTAGGAGGATGATGACAAAGCGATGAAACAATAAGCGAAGGTCGAGGATAACGAGGGGATTGGGATTGGGATTGGGGTTGAACAGCAGTAAGTAAGTTTTTTTTTTTTTTGGTAGAAGTAAGTAAGTTTTTAATTGGATTGAGAAAACAAAGTAGGTGGTCTTTTTAAAATTTCATTCTTTACTTTTTTTGCTATTTGTTGTGTCTAATATTTCCTGTGAAAGGAAAGGAAAGGAAAGGAAAGATGGTTTCTTGTTTTCCCTTTGGACTGTCTCACGACTAGGGCTGGAAGTTTGGTACCGGTATTTGGGATATACCGAATACCGTACCGAATTTGTCTATATTTGGTATTACCGAATATACGTATTATTTTTTGGGATTGGGATTGGGATTGAATTTCAATTGTTATTCGGTATTAGGGATTACGGGATTGGGATCGGGATATACCGAAATACCGATCAATACCGAAATATAAGCTAGTTTGTATTTTATCCTCTCAACTAGACTCTCTCATTTACTACTAAATGACCCTCAACCACCAAAAGTGTCATTTAATTAACACAGATCATTCCATCATTATTAATAGTCGTCTCTCAACCTCTAATTCGTCAAATTAAAGATTATCAATAACAAGAACTTGAGATGTCTCCTCTCCTCCACTCTCCATAATAATATCCTAATTCAAAACTCTTTGCTTAGTCTTTTTCCCGTAAATTAAACAATAAAATCTAATTTATATATTTAATTATTTATTGCAAAGGTAATTAATTTCGTATTTGATAATACCGATTGGGATACCGAGGTACCGATTGGGATACCGAAATATTTAGGGATTGGGATTGGGATACCGAAATTATTTAGGGATTGGGATTGGGATTGACTTTAGGGTGTAATTCGGTATTCGGGATTTCGGTATTTGGTATTGGGATACCGATACCGTACCGATTTTCACCCCTACTCACGACGGGACAGAAATTATGGAAAATTTGTCGACTTCTTCCAAGTCTCACCATTCACCATACTCCTACTCCATGGGAATGGTACGGATCTTCGAGGTAGATGTGCAATTAGGGCTGCAAATGAATCAATTCGAGTTTTATTCCAATTTAAATTCGACTCGTTAATAAATGAGTTGAATCGAATCGAGTTCGAGCTAGCTTTCTTAATAAAATCTTGACTCGTACTTGATATATTCTTTTTGTATATCATACATGATACATGTGACTAATGTAATGATTAAAATAAAAATAATAAGAGTTAAGTGTTCAATATTAACTAATATCATTTTATACTTTGTGGTATCAAACTATTTAGTTAATAAATTTTAACTAGTGAGATTATGTTATTTATAGTCTCGAAGCAATCTATTATACATATTACATAATTTATTTTTAAAATTAAATAAGAAATATTTGCTAACATAATCAACGTGTTAAACTTCATATAGCGTGAGATATATAATTTAACAATCCTATGAATTATCAAAATCAAACTCATATAGATCGATTCGCTCATAACTCGATAATCGAGTTGGCTCTATAGTCAAATGTTGAGAGTTGAGACATCTCATGAGCTCTAAACGAGTCAGCTCACGAATTGAGCTCAAGAAGCCACCAATTCGAGCTAGCTCGCGAGCTGCAGAAGGCTAAGCTCAAACTCAGCTCATTAGTAAACAAGCCGAGTTTCGAACGAGATTTTATCGAGTCGAATGCTGAGCCGCTCGCGAGCAGTTGGCTCATTTGCAGCCCTATGTACATTCATTCAATTTCGTTTTTTCTTTAATGAATAGTGTTGTTGTACTTCGTCAAAAAATTTACTTGGCAACAACTCTTGTCATCTAGGTTTGAAAATTTCAAACTATCAACAATTACATTTCTGTTTGAGCACAACCCAATTGACCTACAACTCCCTTTAGGCACAACCCGACTAACCCAATTTCGATTGACCTGTAACCTAATTAAACATGTAATTCTTTTGATTCGAACCCGTATAACCCGTGACCTACACAATTGACTTAAATAATTAATTAATTACTATATTATATAATATATAGTCTTTCTGAAGTTATTTTTTCTAAACTTTAATAAAACTATTTTTATTTCGTAAAGGAAAGTTCAAAATATAAAATTTACTTGAGATGATGTATTTTTAATAAAATTACAAAAATTTAAACATGAAGTTCACTTGAACATTAATTTCTTTAACAAAATTACAAAAAATACGAAATATAAACTCAGCACAATCTCGATATTGATAATGAATAGTTAACAATTTGAGACAATGTATAACATGAATATTGTTAGGGGTGATGACTATCTTGTCGCGCTAGCCAGAAGTGATTTCTACCTAAGCGCGCTAGCACCGCCATTAAACTGTCCGCGTAACACGTGCGCTCTGCCCCTAACAATGAGTTAGCCTATACACATGTGCGATCATACTTCCATGCCGCTAAAGAGTTACCTCGGGAACCTGCTCACCTGCCCTAACACGCCGGTCTTGTCACATTAAATGTTCACATACCAAGGTTGAGGCTTTAAATATGGCATTTACTCTACCAAGAAAAAGGGATTTTCACACTCCAAACAAATCTCTTGTAATTCCCATTCTCTCTCTACGACATCCTCTGTAACCCTCCTCTTATCGAATACAAGCAATCTCGTTCCCCATTTCATTTGTGTCTGTCTCCTGCTTACCAGCCTTACACTAACAATTGGCGCCCACCGTGGGCTTAAAAAATGTCAAAAAAATCGATGACGACGGAGCAATAGTCCACGCATCAAAGCTCTTCGATAGAAGAAACAACCCACTCAAAGCGACTACAAGCCATAGACTCTTCGACACGTCAAACGATCCAAATGCAACGAGGCTCTTCCACTCGTCACATGAACCAAACATAGTGTTGATCAAGGAGGAAGAAATTGATTTGTTCGCCAAAGACATTCGCCAACAAATGGAGATGCAAAAGAAGGCCATTTTCGACATGCAAGACAAAATGAACCGGATGATTGCACTCATGAGTGCCAAGAAAACCCAGCCCATTCCCGAGCCAGCTGCGGTGGTCATGGCGGTCACTGGCCAAAAGTATTATACTCCAGATGGTTACGCATGGCCACGGCGGTCCGTGATCTCACTCCAAAAATGGTAGCGGGGCACCTCCTGGAATCTACCAGCAACGCTGAGCTAAGGGGGTCACTGGCCAAGCGCCCGGTGTTATCCTCATCGGAACTAGAAGTGAAAGTGGAAAAGGCAATCACTTTGGAGGAAACCTTAGGCGCCGGTTCCGTCCTGCATTTTGAGCAAATGAATGGAAGAGAGGATCAACTGTGGCTCCAGCCTCCGCTACCACTATCCAATTACCACAATGGTGCCAGTAAACCACTCGTACAACCCCAGCAAAACAACCAAGGCGGCGTTCCCCGAAAAGAAATAGGAACGACAGGAATTATACCTCGCTAAATGACTAAGTGTGGAATATATTCCATGTGGTCAGAGAAATGGGCTACCACATAAACTGGTACGGTTTGCAACGACAACCTAAAAACAGGAGAGACCATCAAAAATTCTGCGAGTTTCATTGCAAGACAGGGCATCTGATATGATTCCATTAAAGGTCATTGACAAGCTTGGTTTGATTGCCCAAGGAAGAATCATATTCACCACTTTGTTTCCTGAATTTTGGCTAAGTGTTGAAAACGTCTCGGGTACACTACTTTGGACAGTTACAACTTCTTATTGGTGTTGTGGAAAGTCGAGTTCTTGCGTTTGTTTTTAAGAGAAAGAGTTGCTGATTCCATTGGGACACTTTGGAGCTCAAAAGGAGGCCAGGAAGGTCGTTTTCGAAGCCTATCAAAACCCTATGTTGAAACCGAGAATCTGCCAGAATTTGGCTAAGGCAGGAAGTGAGTTCGGGTTAGCACTTTTGGAGGCTTGTGCGAAGGAGGTCAGCATGAGTCGAGCTTCAAGCTCTCTACCACATGAAACTACACACTTTCTTGAGCAACGTCGTGGGATTGGAGGAGCTGATTGATGCATAGAAGGGTTCGAACGAAGAGGCAGACGTTCGTGTCGACAGTGAAGCTGCTGCCTAAAGAAACAAGAAATCCGAATCCTATTCGGATTAGGATTTGTTCACAGTTTAGGAATTCTTACTGTTTTCGAGTTAGATTTGGTTTCCTTTGAATTCTGGTTTGTTTAGGACATTGTTTACTTGTGTTGTAAGTTTACTTTACCTATTTAAGCTCGTGTCTATGATGTATTAGTCAGCTTTTGAGAGTTAATCGAATAAACCGAGAGTTTATCGCCATAGCTTCTTGCTTGTGGGTTTTTGAGATCGTCCTAGGGTTTTCTAGTTCGATCTTGTGCTTGTATCGTTCGATTAGTCCCATTGAACGTGGCCAAGCTTCGATTTATAGTTATCGAGCCTCTTTCCCTGGTGAAAGTTGCACGAAACTTCTCATCCAAACTACAAAACAGCCCTGTTTTGTGGGTGTTCTTGTTCGAGATCACAATCCGAGGTTCCAGACCTCTTTGCTGCGTAGCTTTGACCTTAAACCCTGCTTAGGGGCTTATCAAGTGGCATCATCGCCTGGTTCAAACGCAGTGGACAGTACGACGCGTTGGACGAGATCAAAAGGTCCCGTTTCCAGTGATCCTGCAGTTCGACGTCAGGAATTGAGAAAGCAATTCGAAGGGCAATCCATGGCGGGGCAAACGTTTAACATGGATGAGCTTCTGGATCGAATGGGGGAGCGATTCCATACTGAAATCCAAGAGCAATTAGGTCAGTTTAAAAGGGAAGTTGACCAGAGGTTTGACACAATTATTCGGCCGGAAAACAGAGACCGCGAAGAGGGAGCACCCGGCGACGCAAATC